TCACACATTTCATCTCGCATAGTGCCCAAAATGTCAACCGAGATATTTTTTTAAATTTACAGACAGACCGGTCAAACTGAATCTCAACTGTGCTTAAAATCAGTGGACGAAAAATTTCAAAATTAAGCTTGCAGACATCATTAATATTAATCTACATTTCACGTAGTTTAACTTGACGTGCCCGTTTTAATTTTTTTCGACACCTTTTCAGTTGCATTTTGATCAATATGAGCCTTTTAACCAGTCAAAATTTATTTCAAAATTCAATCAAACGTTGTATTTTTTCAATAAATTTATTTCGCGTTGATCATTTTGATGCGTTCAAATTAATTTTTTGAGCACTTTTGCGCCCGACTTTTATTTATTTGGAGTCTATTTTTTTTTTCTTTTTTTGTCAAAGCCTTCGAAAATAAATAAATTGATTTTTCTTTGTTTTTATTTCAAATTTATTTTGAGTATTTAAACTAGTGTATTATTTTTAATTTAATTTGTTTCTAACTTTTGTTTTACAATAATAAATTCATTAAAATCATTCTTGTCATTTGAGAATATCAAACCTTAGCATGTTCTTATACCATAGGTCGTGTAACACCTTAATTTTCTCCGCGTAATTTTAAATAAAAATCAAAGTAATTTAAAACAACCAAACATTTAGGATGCTACTATCAACACTAACTAGCTCATGCCATTAAATATGTAACACATAATAAAATTTAAAATTAATAATAAAAATAAACATGTCTAAACTCTAACATTTATTAACAGCGGAAAAACATCAACAACTGATTACCTTAATTTTTCAAAAATAATTATAACAAACATAACCATAACAAACGGAAATCATAATAATTTATTAAACTTAAGAGATGAACATGAAATCTCCACCAAACATAAATTAAAACAATGAACGTTCTACCTCACAATGTTACATATCAGAACAGACACCGACTCAACGAAAGTATAAAGAAGAGCACTCTCTTCCATTTACATCCACGCCTCTATTGCAGATTATCTGCATGATGCCCATGCAAAGACAACATTCAAACAGAAGAGGTGAGAAATTTCAATCATATAAAAAAATGAATAATAATATGTAAGCACACCATCAACATATGCATAATCACCCATCCAACAACTCATAATCCACACAATTCAGAAATAATAATACAACATGTATGCAATGCAATGAGACTCAACTCCATGACTCAATGCATGTGATATCAAATGTGAACTCTCAGGTTCACTCGCTCCAATCCATTATAGGATCAGAGCCCACAAAAAATCGTTATCATCACCATAGGTAACACTTCATCGCTCCAATTCTCGCGTAATTTTAAATAAAAATCAAAGTAATTTAAAACGATTGGAACGGGGCTAGAATCATGAATGGTGTCACTTTCCTTAAAAGTATTTCAAGTACTCTCTTATAGTCTTAGAGTTGGAACACAAAAATACGCAGAATAATTCAGCCTTCTAATCGAATATGTATAAGACTGGTGAAAATTCAAATGAAGGGAAGAATGTCTAGAATTATATGAAGAGGATACAATTTTTTAATTTGTTTTTTCTGAATCCAGAGTGCTCAATTTATAGGCCAAGCTGGTGTTGTTTCATAAGGTTGCGATGCTTGATGAAACACACACTTTCAACAACACTTTTGCTAAATGTTACAATGTTTCACCTACAACAACACTTTTCAAACGTTGCACTGTTTCACCTACAACGACACTTTTACCAAGTGTTGCACTGTTTTGCCTACAACAATAGTTTTCAAAGGTTGTACTATTTCACATTTTGCAACACTTCACAAAGTGTTACATATTTCCGAATTCAAACCTAATGCAACACTTTACAAGTGTTGCCTATTTCTGAATTCAAAAATTAATCTTCACTTGAATATTTTTTTGTCATATTGGAACACTCCCATGGACATTGATTGTTCATAGTTTTCAACAATGTCCTTGCTAACAAGAGGCATAAAGCATTGAGACATCAATTGAGAAGTAAGTTTGCAGTAATCCTGCAAAAGAATATTTCTTGTACAACTATGTAAGGCGTCAATATTGTTAAATATGTAATTCTTTGTGTCAAAGTCGAAATAGTGTGTTTGTATTCGACGGATGTCAACATAAGTTGTGTCAAACAAAGTATGTATTTACCATATTTGACAGATGGTGAAATATAGCCTGTCGAAGCATGCAGCTGTCGAAGGAGTCGATAGAGTTGAAATAGTTAACTTAACTTAGTTTTAGTTGAGTTAGTCATTACGTAATTACTTGAAGTGCAAGTAATCTGATCTATAAATAGAGATGAGCTATATTATAACAAACACTTAGAGTGCAGTTTGCAAATAAATACATTGAACTTTTTTTCTCAATAATTCCCTTTCTCTCACTTTAAATTACTTTGGTTCTTTTTTCAATTCTCGGTGTGCTGTAAAATCATCTTGCAACCAAGGAGTTGTTGTTTCACATGAGTAAAGGGTGAAGAACAAGAGATGTGATCAATCAGAAAGATTGGTTAATCATCAAGACTAATTCGGTTAACTTCAATATTAAAGTTTTCACAACATCTGGTATTTAGAGCAATGACAGTGTGATTTTTAGGACACATTGAATCAAGATAAATCATTTGAACGAGAATTTTCTAACAAATCTTTCAATCTTGAATGGTAAGAATTATGAAAATTGGTGTAAGTAGATAAATGTTATTTTCTGCTATCAAGATATTTGGGATCTTGTGAAGAATAGTGTAACACCAATTGGAGAGAATGCTACAGATGAACAGAGAGATGCGCACAAAGACCTGAAGAAGAAAGATTACAAAACTCTTTTTTTAATCCATCAATGTGTTAATTCAGACAACTTTGAGAAAGTTAGTGATGTAGATTTAATAAAGGAAGCATGGGACATCCTGGAAAAATCATTTGGAGGCACTGAAAAAGTAAAGTGAGGTTACAAACTCACAAAAGAATGTATGAATTGATTAAGATGAAAGACAATGAAAGTGTGACTGATTTATTCACCAAATTAACAAAGTTGGTGAATTAAATTCAAAAAACTAAAATTTACATTTCTTATAGGTCAATTTTTACTTCTAGATAGTTATGGTAACGCCGGAGATAATATATGGAGATAATATATGGTTACCGTTATTAAAATATATAAATAGTATAAGGTGTTTTAGATGAGATTCTGCGTGTTTGACATGGCTTTATAGAAGCTTGTGTAAAACCACTAAAAAGAATGTGCATACATTTATGGGGTGTGACATCTTACTACAAGTTTGAGGATGGTTCTCAATCAAATCGTTTCGGTCCGATTTTCGCTGTCATGTATAATACTTTTAAAGCTAAATATGTATTCTCCCTAAAATGTTATCTTAAAAAAAAGTAGTCAATATTTTTCTATTTATCTTTTTATTTTCTTACTTTACTTCCAAAGTGATCGCTTTTCCTCTCCATATTCACTAATTACAAGTCAAGACATTGGTTGGGTAAACGGTATGAATAAGTTGATCCTACTAACAAGTTTAGAGGGAGGTTGCAATGAATTGCAGACGTGGAAACGAGCTTCTAAAAGATAAAAAAAACTAATTAAGTACTTTCCAAAATTTTCATTTTGGAAGTGTTCGGTCTTGCTTGATGACAGTCACTTTCACTTCAATTAATAATGGAGAAAGTGTTTTTTTTTTGGTCCGATTCTTAACGATGCGGAACAAATTTGACGGTAGTTCTAGAGCCATCAATAGTTTACTCCAATCAATATCCCTTGATAATTAAAAATTAAAACTATTTCAAGCATGCAAAATTATAATTGGCTTAGAGTGTTTAAAAGGTTCAACAACGGCAATAATTCAAAATCAAAAGTTTGTAAGTATAGTGTGTGGCTATACTTAATACTTTTAAGGCATACAAATTATGTATAGTATTCATACATCACCATCAAATTAAGCATATCTTTCTACATTGGGGTGAGAGCTATCGATAGTGCAACCAGTACAAAAAGAGAAAACAATTCCAATAAGGACTGCTTTAAAACTCTAATTCATATTTAGCCACACAACATAAACAAATAAACAAATCTTAAGTTAGATATTTGAATTAAACTCTAATTTCTTTCAACAAAGTAAATTTCATGGTTTGACAGTAGTAATTAAAAACTGTGTATACTGTAGTTGAAGTCTGTTTTTTATGCAGATATATATGTTAGTTTGTTGTTTAGTATGTTAGTTAAAAGTAGAGTTTATTTTTCTTATAAATACGGACACCACAAATATGACGGCGACGCCAATAATAGTTTGAAAAAATGAATAAATTAAACGTAATCACAAATGTCAATACAGGTGTCCGACACAGACGCGGACACATATAATAATTTGAAAAAATGAATAAATTAAACGTAATCACAAATGTCAATACAGGTGTCCGACACAGACGCGGACACATCGTTTTTCAGAGGTGTATGTGCTACATAGTAAATAACATATTTTGTTATTAGTTGTTATTCTAAGTGTATTAAAAAACTCGCAAAAAAATAACAACGGTCACAAATGATTGGAATTGGCGGGAAGTAAATAAACTTTATAGTTTGTATAAGTGTGAACTTGATGAAATGGTGGGCCATTTTGCTGCTTTTGAATTTTGTAGTGCACTCAAGACAACTTAGACAAGTAATTTTCATACTTTCGGTGTGCTCAATTTTGGACTGTTGGTTTATTATTCACTTCCAAATGCTATAAATAACACACCATCTGTCACCTATGCTTTTACTCTATACTCTCTTAGTCTTTTCTTGTCTTCATCATACTCAATTCAAGTTTTGTTTTAAATTTCTTTAATGGTTTGTGTATTCTAAAATTTGTGATTTTTAAAAACCAAGCAAAGAGACATTTATTACATATTACTTTCACATTTTGAATGATTTAAGACAATTGAATTATGACTCAGAAGTCTTATATCAAGACACCGTCGCTCCATCTTAAATATTTCTTATAAAAAAATGGGAGAGATATCATTGCCACCCGGTTTTCGATTCCATCCAACTGATGAAGAACTAGTAGGATATTATCTTAAAAGAAAAGTGGAAGGACTTGAAATTGAGCTTGATGTTATACCTGTCATTGATTTTTACAAATTCGATCCATGGGAGTTGCCTGGTAATCTTCAATTTCACATTTTCATTCATCATTTGCATCATAATATATATAAAATGTAAGATTTTTTGCTGTCAAATGCAATGTTTAATATAGTATGAAGCAGAATCTAAGCAAGGACTTATTTTTTACTGCATTGTTGCTTCTGATACAAATGTTAGAACTTAGAAGCTTAACTCATGGGGTGTGAAATGCAGAGAAATCGTTTCTACCAAAACGAGATTTAGAATGGTTTTTCTATTGTCCACGCGATCAAAAGTATCCAAACGGATCAAGAACAAATAGAGCTACCAAAGCCGGTTACTGGAAAGCCACCGGAAAGGAGAGAAAGATTGTGTGTCAAGGCACTTCATCTACTATCACAGGAAACTGCAAAGCACTTGTTTTCTATCTTGGAAAGGCCCCTTTATGGAATAGAACTAGCTGGATCATGCACGAGTATCGCCTCACCGATGATCTTGGTCAAGACCCGCCGTATTTTAAGGTACAAATAATAGCGACTAAGTTATGTGATGTGATGAGTTAGCTTTGTTTTGACCTTACGTTGATGTGTGCGTGCATGTGTGTTTCCTGCAGGGTGGTTTTGCTTTGTGCCGAGTTATTAAAAAGAATGAAAAGAGAAAGAGGATTGGAACTAGTTCCGGTGATGTTTCTTCTCAAGCAAGTCACCTGAATAATGAGATTGGATATTCAAGCCTTGTTACTTCTATGCAAAATGTGGCTCCAATTGCTGAGCTTAACCATGTTTTAATAGAAACCAATCCTTCAAACTTATGTATCTCCCCAGATATGATTCTTGATTCTTCAAAGGTATATTGTTTTTCATTTTATTATTAATATATGAACAAAGAAGGAAAGTTGAAATCCAAATCAGTTAGGTATTACCCGTATTCACGCAGTCGAGATATTAGTGGTCATTTGATCAAGATCAGACGATCCAAATTCAAACTCGATATTTTGAATTATGAAATATAATTTTAAGTATGCAAGTTTTTAGACCGTCACATTGATCAAACTGCCACGTATTTTTGACTGCGTCTAAGTGTGGGACCCCCTTATCGAATTTCATAATTTGGAGATGTTTCTCAAGTTTTTGCTACACCTTCTGCAGGAGTATACCATAATACAAGAAGCAGTGTCTCAATATTTTCCTAGGCATGACTCACAAAATCAGTCATTGGAACATGAAACAATTTCACCTACTTTATCCTTCTCAAATTTAGAGAGTGAAATTGAATTTTCTGATAATGTAAGTCAAATTGGATGCATATCACCTTACCCAATTCATGGGAATATCATGGACTACGACGAAAATTGGGAAGTTCCTTATGAGGCTTATCATCAAATTAATTCAGTCTCACATCAAGATCCAATTTGAAGGCAAACAAGTGAAGATTAGTGTTAATGATAAATCATTGTGGAGACTAATTAGCTAAAATCTTACTCGGTGTGACATTATAACGTAGAATGATAAATAACGAAACGATCTCTCTGTAACACCGACATTTCTAATAAAACAAACAAATTTAGTATAGTATAGTATAGTATTCCTTACCTTCTAATGTAGCTCTAATATAAGCTTGCAATTTTAGGGCTACAAAACACTTCAACTTCTTGAATAATTGCTCTTGACTCATCACCAAAGATAGACTCCTTGCCATCTTCCCTTTTAGCATAAGACAATCCCAATCTAGACTTAGCTTGTGTTAAATCACCAACACCAGAATTAGTATCCGGCCCAGCAAAACCACCCATAACCGGTGCTAACGGGGGACCGATGAGAAGCCCGTCAGCCCCGAACTGTGGCCCGCCACGAGCATAATCAAACAAAGCTGCACCACTTCCACCAACCTTAGGCAAAATGATGGGTTCATTTTTATTTTCTATCCAATAAAATAGAAATGCATCAAATGTGTCATAGTAATCATCTGTGCTTCTATATCCTTCAGGGTTAAATGCACCAAACTTGAAAGAGTTGTTTGTGTAGCCTATTATTACACATGGTCCTTTAAAGTCACAACATTGATGGAAATTTGTTGCACTAAATCCATCTATTGTTGCCCTGTAGCAGCACTTTAGTTCCTTACCTGATCAAAACACAATTAGAAAACCAAATAGACAAGCATATTAATTATGAGCCGTCTTGCTACTATACATGATCCAAAATTTGACACAACTAAACTGTGATTAAATAGGGCCTCATAAAATATGTCACTCTTAAACCGTGAAAAAATAAGACCCTTATTTGTCGAGAGAAGAAATACCTTTCAAAAATGTTTTGGAAACGAGAGAAGTTGAGAAAGTGAGATCAATATCATGGTATTTAATCTGAGGTTTGTCATCAACTCTCTTTCTGCCTATGTTCCAACCAAATAAGCAATTTGGTCCTGTCTTCCTCCCTTGGAATGATAGAGAGTTTGATATACAAGATGCCATCCAAAGATGACCAAAACTATGAACTATCCATTTATCTATCTAATGCATTTCCACCACTAAAACAAAACTCATCATCTTATCCATATGCACATCCCTTCTATATAGTCAGTAATCACTGGACCCACTTCTATGGAAAATTTGGACCACATTGATCTTTTATGCTATTATCAATACAAAATATATTTCCTAATATTGTCAATGCAAAGAGAGGACTAGTTACTGTTCAAGGAGGCCTTTGGCCCGTAGTTCTAAATTACGGTCCACCACAACAACAATTTCATCCGTAATATAGAGGTTTTAGGCATTTCCACAATAACACTGCATCTACAATTGTAGCCGAATCAGTCTTTTGTTTTTGCCTCATGCCTACTTTCTTTGTTTTTATTTGCTCGACTCAAGGTTCTCGAGTTCCACTTTCCGGTTTTTCTGAGACCATGTTAGAATGAGGTGCAAACATTCTCAATTTAGTTCCAAACAATGTTGAACTTGATCTCAAATAGAAAGAAGAAAAAGGAATAGATTGGAAGTGTAATAGTATTAGACCTAAACTAAAATTACTAGTATATTACATAATCTGATATAATAAAATATAATCTAAGATATACATTATGACAATCATTTATAAAATACCAAATAACGAATAATGTATTTCCTTGTTTGTTTCCATTCAGAATCATTCTCCACCATGAGAAGGTAAATGATTCTCCAACACATCAACTCTTGGTTTCTCACAACTATCAAAAAGCTCATCACCATGTCTATACTCTTTGAAACACGCCAACCTCCCAAGTTCTTCAACTTCATCAATGATCAAATCCAGTTTCGCCACCGTTTCCACAAGCAAAGAAGCAAAAGCAGCAAAAGGCAATGCCTCAGAAAGCTCAAGACTAGTAATAGCAATTTTACTCATCTGGCTTCTCAACACTTTACGTTCCGGTAATTGTTCTACATCCTTAGTCTGCTCAGCAGAGACTCTTTTGGTTTTCCAATCTAACAAAGCAGAAGAATCTGTTTTAACACTTGGCAATGAGGCTTTTCCATGTTTTGTGATCTGTTCTGTTGCTCCTGCTTGTGCAGCAGCTATGGTTGCCAGCATGTTATTAGCTTGGATCTCTTTGGAGCTTAAGAAGAGCCGTGGCTGTGATTTTATCGCGGTGTTGAGGTCTTGTAATGCTTCATGAAGATGATCAGAAAGTATTTCTGGTGAACAATGGCGTCGACTTCTTATGCTGTTGGCAAGTTCTATCAGTACTTTTGATACCTCTGCTGCTAGTCTTATGCAAGGGTCCTTGAATAGAACTCGAACAGATTGCGGTGTCTGAAAAACAATTTGTTAAACTAAAATGAGAAAATAGTTAATCAACTAGAGAGATATTGCATGATGCATCCTTTTCAAATTATTATCGTTGCTAACGTGTGAGTGTCGTGTCCAGTGTCCTTTTCTGATGGCTACTATTTTGACTATGATTGTCCTTTTCAAATCATTATGTTACCTGAATTTCTGTTCTCAAACAGCCATGTAGAGCTACTACTGTATATCCAAATTGACGAAGAACAGTGCCGACTTTTACATACTGTTGTGACGGAAATTTGTGACAGTACCTAAAATATCTTGGCTCCCAACTTGCATGTAATGCCTGCACAGTTCAAAACAGAATCATTTGAAGAATAAGAGACTTGAAGAACAAGAAATTTGTGACAGTACCTATATGGATACATAGCTTACCAATGTTTCATCGGTGGATTTCGAATCCAAAACTCCCTTATAACCTTTGTATATTGGATCTTCCGATGATTTTACATCACCAGAAAAATCAACTTCTCCATAGAAATATTCATTTACACAAACTGCAAGAATTCACGCCTTCAAAATGTTGATTTACAAGGTAAGAACTATCGATACTCTATGAATGTGTTAAGAATTTGGCGTACCTTCTATAGATTTGGCTAGGCCGTCGAGTTTGAAAGCAGTGGAATGATGTAAATCTTCCCCTGACCAATTCGGAAAGACGAAAAGACTCATCACAAGACAAACAGCACAACCTATGGCTATGGTGTAGAAGCGGTCATGTGCAAGCTTGAAGACATGATCAACCCGATAACTTGAAACCGTTAACAAGTTGAAGGTTAAGAGAAATATAACCACGCCATAATCATAATTCTTCTTTATAGAAGGAATGAACCTAATATATGTGGCTACAGACCCTGCCCGATACATACGACATGAACGAAATTAGAACTTGAGTTTAAGTACTTCTTAAGAAATACAAGAAATGATATATATACCTATTATCAAAACTGCAACTGCAATGAAAACAGCTTGAAGTATATGACCAGATGCATTTGCAATATAATCTAGAAGAAATGCCAATAGTCCTGCTAATAGTGTCCCCAATCCTCTATTCAGCCCTTTGCATAAAGTTGCCCCTGCCAACAAAAGAAATCATCCATGTACTATAAATATAGCGTCTAAAGTTTTTGAAAGCCCTGTGCAGGTTAGTCGCGGTTTAACAATGACAAAACAAACAGAGGTCGTATTTAGACACAGTTTAACTTAAAATGGGTATATGAGGTAGTCTGTCTTGCACGCGTTCCCTAACTATAAAGTAGCCTTTTGGATAGGAGGAACTGATATATACCTGCGGTGAACTCGAAAACCACGACGACGGTCATGACAGCCCAAATAGCATTTTGTCCAATCCCTTTAAAGAGTGGCTCCAAAACATAAAGCAATGATACAAGAGTAAGAGATAAACCAACTTTGAATGCATGGATCAACCTTCTTGGATCATCCCATCCCACTTTCCATATAGTCTTCCAAGCCAAACAAGGAAACCTTTTAAACCTCTCACCAAAAACATGCATACGTTTCTTCCACTTCTCAATCTTTTCGCCACTCTCATTCTGAGCCATACTCATTTCAAGGTCACTATGAACTTTAGGAACCATTTTTTAATAAAGATTTCTCAAATGAAAAGTTTTTTGTGTGAGATAATGAGGATTCTAGATGTTTGATGGTGAGAAGTGAGAACTTTAATGTTCTACAAGAGACTTCAACAACTTTATATGGTTGTTGTATAGGGGGAGAAAGAAAGTAGAGATGTCATTTTTAGTTTCACATGAATTGCATTATAAAGTTATCATTGCATTAAAAAAAAGTAGCTGTCTCAAGTAGTAATTAGATTTGACCTCTTTGTTGTTTTTGTTTCTTTTTTTTCTGGTTTTGGCTTATGCTGTTTTTGCTTACAGTAAAACATTATAATATAAGTTGATTAACCATACGGATCATAATCTAGTATATGTATGAATTTGAAACAAATAAAATATCAAATTGAAGTGCATAACATAACACATAATTATAAAGAATCTTATATGCTATAAATTCGAATTAAATGTAAAATGAATAATAAATAATATTATTGTTCAACAATAATAAAAGATTAACAACAAATACAAAAAAAAAAATTATAGAATATTTTTTTTACTAACCTGTAAGATGTTGAAAGATATCAAAGATTTGGTTTTGGACGGTTGCTCAACCAAGAAAAATAATGTTTGAAACAGATGGTGGTAACAAATGATGGAAACAAAATTATGAGTTTAAAGAAGAATTTTGAAGAAGATGAAGATTGAAAATATTTGAGTTGAGAGAAAGAAATTAGAGGAAAAAATGTGTGACAAAGGTGGTAAGGAGATGTTATTTATGGATTTTTTACAGAGTGTCTTATGTTTTGTTGTTGTTGTTGCCAGAAGCATAGTTCCTAACAAACTCTTTTAAAAAGGGAGTTGTTATTGTAGTGATACATCCATTGCTTTACTTTATTATTATTAGCTTTGAAATTAGATTTGTAAGTCTGCAATATACAAATATATGTAAAATTGTTTATGCCATTTCTTGTCAATTATTTTTCATAAAAGTTGGTACCTACAAAATGAAAAAATTAAGTTAGTTCATAAATACTAATATACTGTTTCTTTTGAATAAATCAACAGAAGTTATCTTATAAACTGAATATAGTTTTTCTCTTACTAATGTAGCCAACTTGTATCTTCTCTTTTTTCTAATCCAGTTCTCTATGGATATAAATCATGGCTGGCTTCTAATTAGAATCTTTCTTACACAAGATTTTAAGTAATAGAAAATCACACTTTAGAAAAAGAATCAAATTATTTCAAAGGTCCTTGTTTAGAACTATATCTTCAACTAATTTACCATATTTTGTTTTAGAAAATTGATCATTCTTCCATTGTTTGGAAGTATGATATCCTCCTCTTTTTATTATATATATATATATATTTTTAAAATAAGCTATGGAATTCAAGACTAAAGGGGTACTCGAAACTCTTACGATAAAAAATCAGCAAAAACTAACTCCGGTTTAAACAACATATTGGAGAAATATATCGGTCATAGAAAGAACATGTTGTGAATCAGATACCTTTAAACAAAGTATAAACGGTTTCTTAATGATCAAAAAACACACAAGGGTTAGGGTTAACAAAGAAAACAAGGTAAAATAACAAGGAACAACAAGGATTGGTTATTAAACTGCTATTATTTCCTTTCTCTTAGAACAAGATTATAAGAATAACAAAATAATCTCTCTCCCTTGAAATTAGGATTTTATCTTCCTATTTTTCCTTATTCCTTATTTCCAAGATTGAGAAACTAGCATCCTATTTATAATAAAATAGCACACTAACCTAATGGGCTTTTTAACAATTACCCATTACAAGCCAACTTAGGGTACAAGCTAACTTAAACAATTGGGCTTACAACCAAGACCCAATTCAACATGCTAACAACCCTAGCAATATTGACTAATGCATGTTAGAACAAACTTCGACTACAACACACATTACTTGCGAACAGACTTCGACAACACTAGAGTTTGATCCAACGTCTCACAAATCTCCACCTTGGATCTAACTCTATAACATCAAGAAACTAGCTTTCTTCATGCAGCTTTATTAACTGCATACAGTGGAAAAACTTGCAATTGGGCAACGTCTTGGTGATCATATCAGCAGCATTATGATCTGTCAAAACCTTCAGCACTTGGACTTCTCCACGCTCGATTACCCCTCTGATGAAATGCAGCCTCACATCAATGTGCTTGGTTCGCTCATGATAGGCTGAATTCTTCGACAAGTGTATTGCACTTTGACTATCACATTTAATAGTGATAACTCGACCTTGAAGTTTTAGCTCCTTTGCAAAACCTTCAAGCCACAATGCTTCCTTCACAACTTCAGTTAGGGCAATATACTCCGCTTCAGTGGTTGATAGGGCAACGACCTTCTGAAGTGTTGCTTTCCAACTGATTGCTGTCCCAAACATAGTGAACACATATCCAGAGATAAATTTTCTGGAATCCATACAACCTGCATAATCAGAGTCGACATATCCATCGATTGCTGCTTTACTATCTTCATCCAAGGCTCCACCATAAATTAGGACTCTATTCAGAGACTCATTTATGTACCTTAAAATCCACTTCAATGCTTGCCAGTGAGCCTTTCCAGGATTCGCCATGTACCTGCTTACAAGACTTACTGCATATGCTATGTCGGGTCTAGTACAGACCATAGCATACATCAAAGAACCTACTATGTTAGCATATGGAATGCTATTCATATAAGTTCTTTCAACATCAGTGCTGGGACACTGATTTATACTCAGCTTGAATTGAGGGTTTGTCGGAGTCACAACAGGCTTTGAATTCGACATACCAAACTTTTCGAGAACCTTCTGTAGGTATGCCTCTTGAGATAAGCATAATTTCGAATGCTTTCTATCTCTCCGGATGTCAATCCCAAGAATCCTGGACGCATCTCCTAGATCCTTCATTTTGAACTCTTTATTGAGTTCAGCCTTCACCCTCATTAGCTCTTCGACATTGTTGCTTGCTATTAGAATATCATCCACATAGAGCAACAAAATAACAAATGAATTACCCGGTCGAAATCTGAAGTAAACACAGTGGTCGAACTGCCTTCTGATGAAACTTATGTGTGCCATGAACTTGTCGAATATCCTATTCCACTGTCGAGGAGATTGTTTCAGTCCATATAAAGATCTATTCAGTTTGCACACATAGTCTTCCTTCCCCCTTTCGACATACCCTTCAGGTTGCCTCATCAGGATTGTTTCATCTAGATTACCATACAAGAACGCAGTCTTCACATCCATCTGTTCCAGTTCAAGGTCGAACTGGGCCACCATGGCAAGTAACATTCGAATGGATCTGTGCTTCACAACAGGAGAGAACACATCATTGAATTCGATACCTTCTTTCTGAGTGAACCCCCTAGCAACCAATCTTGCCTTATATCTCTTCGACGTCACTCCTTCGATTCCTTCCTTAACTTTGAAAATCCATTTACAGATGACTAACCTGGCTCCAGCAGGTTTCTTGATCAGTTCCCAGGTGTTGTTATCATGAAGAGATTTTATCTCATCATCCATGGCCTTCAGCCATTCAGTCTTCTTTCGACTCCTCATAACTTCCTTATAGTCTCTAGGTTCTTCATCTAGAACCTCACTAGCAGAGATTAAGGCATAAGCTATAAGATCTGCATACCCAACTCTCTGAGGTGTCTTGATGACTCTCCTCGACATGTCTCTTGCTAGCAGGTAGTCATTATCAATCTCCTCATCTTCGACGACATCTTCTGCGTCTTCTTCGACTTCATCTGCGGTAAGCAATTCAGCATCAACATGCTCCATCTCAACAGGAATTTCTCCCTGTTCCAGCTCTTCGTCAGCATCATTAGTTTTCTTGAAAGCCATCTCTGCTTCATTGAAAACTACATCTCGACTGGTGATACACCTCCTGTGACCTGGCTCTAGGCACCATAGCCTATAAGCTTTGACTCCTTCAGGGTATCCCATGAACATGCATTTCAGAGCTCTAGGTTCGACCTTGTCTTGCCTAATATGAGCATAGGCCACACAACCAAATACTCTCAGTTTGTCGAGACTAGGTGGATGTCCCGACCAAACTTCTTCAGGTGTCTTCATTCCCAAGGCAGTCGAGGGACATCTATTTATCAGGTAAGCTGCTGTCGAAACAACTTCCGCCCAAAACACCTTCTTCAATCCAGCACTAACCAACATGCATCTAACCCTTTCAAGGATTGTTCGATTGAATCTCTCAGCTAAGCCATTTTGTTGAGGAGTACCTGCTACAGTTTTATGCCTTGCAATCCCAGACCCAACACAGTAACTGTCGAAAGCTTTGTTGCAGAATTCAAGGCCATTGTCGGTTCTCAACCTCTTAACCTTTCTACCAGTCTGAGTTTCGACTAGAATCTTCCAACTTTTGAAATTCTCAAAAGTTTCATCCTTCGTCTTCTGAATGAATACCCATAGCTTTCTGGAATAGTCATCAACAATGGATAGAAAATACCTTGCACCTGAGTGTGAAGGATTCCTTGCAGGCCCCCAAAGATCAGCATGAATGTAATCCAGGGATCCATGTGTTCTTTGCTTGCCTTTGTTAAACTTCGCCCTACAGGATTTACCAAATACACAAGATTCACAAAATTCCAACTTTTCGACTCTGTCACCTCCTAGCAGGTTTTGCTTCCCCAATTCGACCAGGCCTCTTTCGCTGACATGGCCCAATCTCATGTGCCATAATTCTGTCTTCGACATAGATTTCGTGGATGCAACATTTGTCGAACCACTTACAACCTCAGCCTCAAGGGTATACAAGCCTTGTTTCTTCACGCCTCTCAAGACTTCCTTCGACCCCTTCATGACTCTTAGGATACTTTTCTCTCCTTGAAAAACATATCCTTTTCTGTCGAATTCACCAAGAGAAATAAAATTTCTCTTCAAGTCAGGTACGTACCTGACTTCAGTCAATAACCTTATTGACTCATCATGGAGCTTGAATCTCACAGATCCAATACCTGCAATTTTGCAAGATTTGTTGTTTCCT